TTTACGGGATGTACATTTTTTACTTTGTTGTCTTTATGAGACTGAAATTGCCAAGACTGAATTTCTTCCAACATATCATTCCAAAATGTAATATGTGCTGATTTCTTAGTAATAGATGACTTTAAAAAACTGCAATTATTTAGCTGAATGATACGAGAATTTAAACTATCAAAAAGATCATTAATATCATTCGCAAACTCTGCTGTATGAATAGCCTCAGCAGGTATGCCAGTAGTGGGGTTACTCACCATTGCCTCAACTTCATGAGCTACAGATGCACTTAACGTTTGTGCTGGAATTTTTACTTTCATTTTAACATTACTACGATTTAATTCGAAATAATGGTCATGTATCTTTCGTAAACCTTGGAAGCGTCTAGATTTATCAATTTCATAACATTTTACTGTATTTGAATTTTGCTGTTTTATTATGCGAAAATTTAATATTATTGTTATATAAAGCATTTCTGGTCTTTTTATGCAAATGAGGAGCGTCAAAAATGGGAATAATTTCCTCGCCATTAACATTAAAAGTGGATTTATTTGATGACTCAGAAACTAACTGTCTGATAGCTGATCTATTAGTGGAACCTTGATCACAAACTGTACAATTAATTTTGAATCCACAACACTGCAATGCGGAAATTATTTCAGTTAACAAAATCTGTAGATCCTTTGTATTTATGACATCTTTTGTGAAATAATTCAAGATAGGTTGCTTCCAATGTTTACTAATATTTTGTACCAAAAACACTAGAGCATGATTTGCTACCTCATTTTGTCTACCCAGGGACCCAAGATGGACATATCCCGTTATTTGATCTTTACAAGTGTCATAATCTAGACCAACAGACAGAGCTATTTCATCAAATACTAAACAACAAACTTTATATCTTGTAATCATTTTACTATCATGTTTTGATAATTTACGTAACAACTTTTCATTTATCCCAACATTTAAAGGTATTTGGCCTAAATATTTCCTTATGGAAGATTTAGAGGGCAGCACAAAAAATTTTTGTAAAAACCTGTAGCACCTTGACTCACGTTTGTAAATCGCTAAAGCAAGTGCTTTATTTTCTGAATTATAGATAGGTCATTTTTTTCACAATTTTTAATTTGTGACTCAATAAATTTTACTCCTACTGGATCAAGATGTCGACTTAATTTTGCAAATAAATTAGAATAGGTGATACTACGAACATGAGCCAAATTACTTTTACATTTTAATAGTTTCTTTTTTAATTTCAAAATCTGTTGTTTATTATTTGACTGAAAAGATGTGCAGCTTTGACAAAATGAGATATCAAGTGAGGTACTTACATGACCAGTATTTGATTCCGCTTAATTCAACTTGCTATCAGTAATATCAGTAATGGCCCTAGTGCTCGCAGTAGCGCTTATAGGAAATAACATTTTTGAATATATGTATTTCGGTTTTTTAAAAGGTGGAGGTGAAAAATCATCCGAAATTGAAGTTTGGCAGCTCGTATTCTGAAAATTCTGTAATGTTACGTTAACATTAACAAATTGTTTTGCTGAATATTGGATACTATCCGAGAATTCCAAGGTGATATTATTACAATTAATATATGAACTTGTAGTTGATCTTAAAAATAATGTTGGCACAGCATTTCTGTTGAGACTATTCCTATCACTGCTTTTAAAACATTTTAACTCAAAATGGTCTTCACAAAAATAATGATCTGTGTTTGTCGGAGCAAAGTCTGATTTACATAATTTTCGAAGTGATTCTATCCACAGTAATTGTCTGTCTTTTGTAATTTTGAAAAAACTTTTATTTCTATAGGACGCTTTACAGACATTCATATAGTAAGTGCTTTTGCAATTTGAAGCACAACATTGACGTGTAGTTCTACCAGGTAAACTCATTTTGAATAAAAATACAGTAGTAAGGCAGTTCAGATGACTAATTCAATAAATCCTTTATTACATTAATCTAAAACAAAACAAATTTATTAATGCACAAAACGCGGCAACCTACCTGAACTGAAGATAAACTATAACCTCAAATCTCCAACATTCTACGTTGATTGAAATATTTCAGTCAACGCATTCTATTTCTGTTGATTGAAAGCTTGGAAATACAGATTCGATCTGTGGTTGCAGATTTCTGTTTAACAATTTCCTTAAAGGACAACGTTTTGCTACAACAACATGAGATGGCCTCAGTGAATGCATGTTCGATCCGCCCTATCCAATAAAAGCCTTATATTTAGTTACTCTTATGGTTTGCGAGATACAGATGGTCAAAGGTCATGTGAAGTCAGTATGAGACTTAACGGCAAGTCAGTTGATGGGTAGAAGACGCTTCTTTGTAAAAGAAGTCCTACGTAAAAGTTGTTGTGTTTGGGATGAGGCACCTTAACGTGGTCTTGGTCAAGGGCAAAGGTCATTTGAAAGTCAACGCGAAATGATTCATACGGGAATTTTTCTTGTTCATTGCTGCACCTTTTGGTCTTTTGAAAAAAAGCCATCCATATCATAAAATCCAGAAATAGCTAGATTTTAAGATATAGAAATGTCATACGAAGCCACTGTTGAGACTGACGGCAAGTCAGTTGATTGGTAGAAAAAGCGTCTTGGTAACAGAAATCTTGCACAAAAGTCATAAGTAGTAGTTTATACAGGGTGTTTCAGAAAGACCTCCCGTAAATTCAGGGGGATGAAAAATATGTCTATCTCCTCTTGTTTTCGAGATACAGAGCGACAAAATAAAATTCTTTAAATAGAATTTTTACGAAAATTTCTAAAAGGTGCGAAATATTTTTATGAAATTTGGTATTCCGGAGTTTTCAAGGACGCCAAATACGCTGGTCTAATTATTTTTTGTATATTTTATAGAGGGCGCTAGTTATCCTACATTGATATTACATTTTAAGTTCTAATTTCTAATGTACAATTTTATTTTCTAAAAATAATGTACTCTTGTTAGAACTTTCTAATGTGGACAGTTTTCGGGAGAAAATAAGTGACTATTCTCAAAGTAGGCTTATATCAAAACTTATTGATGGATGTCTCATAAACAACGCATACATTCTCAGTAATATTTTAAACTCTAATTAACTTTATATCAAAATTTTAGTGACTGTAATAAATAATAATCACATTGTCGCATTGTATATTATACACAAGTAATTTTATTAGAATTCTGTTTATGTCAAAACTCTAATTTTAATTGAATTGAAACAGAATTCAATCAACATCAACTGAATTTATTACCTGCAGTATGGTTAGGTCTAGGATGATGTAACATTTCTGGAGGATCAGGCCAAACTCCGCTGTTCCTTAGTATTCGATTGACAGAGCTTACTGAAGGTATGTTATGAGGTTCACAGATCCTTTGTGATATCAGTTGCTCTCTTATTTCCCAAGCAAACATTCCGGGATTTTCTTGTTTGAAGCGAAGGATTTTCTTCACTACGGTGGGGGTTGCAACTTGCTGAAAAATATTGAGCATTTTAATGAAATATGTAAATGTATGAAAGTGATTATCAGCACCAACAATTTATAACTATTAGGAAACATATTACATTACTAATATACATATGTATATAAAATATAACATTATGAAAAAGATTGCAGTTGGGTGATTGGTACGACTTTCTTAATTCGATAGAGGGAATTTATATTCAAAGGATACATGTACTGTGATAAACCAAATTAAAAAAATATCTTATACCTACGCAGTGCTTGTAAAAACGGCACAAGGTATAAGTTTCTGGGATCTGGGAAAGTAGCAAATATACAAAAAAGTTTAAATGAGGAAAGATGTGCGGTTTTATGATCCTTATTAAATTTTACTTTTATTTTTTAAATAAACGTCATGACTGACTAGATTTTTGGAAAAATCCGAATTCGGCCAATTCTTTCAGATGCGTGTAGCTCCGTTGCTATTTATTTTACAAAAAAAATTAAATTACAAAGTTTCAGGTTTTTGCAGTATTAATAAGAGAGTGAGACCAAATTGTTCGTGTACCCTTTCGTTTTCAAGTTATAACATAAACTTCAAGTTTTTTAAATGTAAATCATAGTTGGCTATGAGCTAGAAAAAATGACCCTTTTATGTTTTCCAACGATATACAATTTGATATTGTTATTTTGAAAAATGGGAAAACTGCAGCTGTTTTTAACTTTTCAGTTGTTCGCTGACGTAGATGGCTGTGAAAACATTCGAAATGTATATTGACAACGCTTTTAGTTACTGTAGAATTATTTGGCAGTTAATTTTCTTTTTTAAAAGTTGTTTCAATTGCCAAAGACAATGAATTTTTCAAACGAGGAAAAGCGTAAAATTATTGAGTGTTATATTCGTTCAGGAAACTTTTGACAATATTGATACGCGTTCTGTGAGAAAAGCCTCAAATTCTGTTTCAAAAAGATGTATCTTGTGCATTAATAATAACGGTGGGGTTTTTGAACAATTTCTTTAATATCTTTAAAGTAAATAATGTTCACAAAATTCTGATATTTTTTGCGTATTTCATTTACTTGCCACATAGATTTCCATCATTATGATTTAAATTTTTTATTCTTTACTTATTATTATTGATTTATTTAAAATATGCCAGTCGCACACTGCTCTGGTGCCCCGACACATACAGAGGTGCGCACATGATACCGACTTCAATTGTTCTGATTTTATTCGTTGGATTGCGTATAATTTTCACAGCCATCTACGTCAGCGAGCAACTGAAAAGTTAAAAACGGTTGCAGTTTTCTCATTTTTCAAAATAACAATACCGAATGTTATATCGTCAGAAATAATAAAAAAAGACATTTTTTTCTAGCTCATAGGTAACTATGGTTTACGTTTAAAAAACTTGAAATTTATATTATAACTTGAAAACGAAAGTGTACACGAACAATTTGATCACACTGTCTTATTAATACTGCAAAAACCTGAAACTTTGTAATTTAAATTTTTTTCGTACAATAAATAGCAACGGAGCTACACGCATCTGAAAGAATTGGCCGAACTCTATTTTTCCAAATATCTAGTCAACCATGACGTTTATTTAAAAAATAAAAGTAACAATAAGGATCATAAAACTGCACTACTTACCTCATTTAAGCTTTTTTGTATCTCTGCTACTTTCCCAGATCCTTACACTAAACATCGAAAAAAACTCACGCTGTATATTCATAAGATAATAATTGGCACTTAATATTTTTTTATTTTCTACGCCTACCTTAGTGATAGACGATCGTAATTTTGAGAGAGAACGTGTTTTGATTTCGACATGTAAGATAATTTGATTTGCCGAGAAACATTTAAAGGAAGAAATACGCAAAATAGGTACTCGTAAATATTATTTTGAGCGCTCCAACAAAATTGTCACCTAATTATACCAAAAAACTATCAAATCTATTATAGAGAAAAGCTATTTAAGATAAGAAACACATTATTATAAAGTTACGTGACATCAAGCTTATACAAGTTCGGAACGTCCCCATGCTATATCGGCCGTTACGTGAGAGAGATAAAGTAAGTCATAGAAATCCGTGCGATAGACAAGGATGGTTACATTGAAGACGTTTCATAATCTGAATAGTCACTCCCACTTCAAACCCGAAGCGGGCGGTGACTATTCAGATTATAAAACATCTTCACTACAGCCATCTTTGTCTATCGCACGGATTTCTTTACTTTACTTTGTCGCTCTCATGTAAAGGCAGATGGACCATGTGGATTTTCCAGCCCTGTATATCAAATCGAATATTATGAAATTAACTAAAAATAATATTGGATACAATATCAAAAAATACTATGCGGTAAATAACAGGGGATCTGTTTAAAGATTAGATACGTCCTCAACATTTTTTATTTTAAAACAGACCATGCGACTATTAGGGTCATCTGAAACCGAAATAATATAATTTACCAATTTTACCAATTTATGCAATACCAGTTGATAAGGTATTGTTAAAACTAATGCAGGTTTGTCGTTAGCATGATTACATTTTTCTGAAGTTCCCGTATATTATATGGGATTTTCAAAGTTTTCAATTGAATTTGATGTAATTTTGTTTAGTTTCGAATTATTCTAATAGTTACATTTCCCTGTACAAATTTTTCGCCATTTGTATGTTATCGTCTTACTTTATTGTATTAATATGACTATTTTTTATTTCTCTGTTCCACTTTTTATTAATTTATGAAAGATTTTGAGTGTGAAATAATGAAAATATTGAATTGAATTGAACTTAAAATCAAATTAATTACCAATACCTACCTGCGAGAATAATTTTCTTTCGTCCGGACTTATTAGAATACTTGCAATAATAAATCATGAATGTTATCAAATAATTCCATCAAATAATTCCATATTATCTTCACAATATGCGGAAATGGTTTGAATCTATACTTCTATATCTATACTAATATTATAAAAAGGAAAGATTTGTATTTTGCTATGTATGTTTGTTACGAATAAACTCAAAAACTACTGGACAGATTTCGATAATTCTTTCACCAATAGAATGCTACATTATCCCTGAGGCTATATTTTTTATATCCCAAAATGTTTAAAATCGATGTCCTCCCGTGCGAAGCCGGGACGGGCCGCTAGTTGTTAATGTGCTGGTGCTGGTTAAATTTCCGACGTTTATTTAACGTAATTTTAAGTAATTTTAATTAGAAACTAGCTTATTTACTTTAAAATTCCTAATTATAATTAAGCTAAAACTTTAAAATCCCGTCCAAACTGTTTGGCAGTATCTTATATAAAACATTTGGCTACTTATATCATTTAATTTTTTTCGAGGAGGTGACAACTTCTTTCAAAACAGAAACGATCTATCTTGGCGTTTTTCAAACATTTTATAGGCATTAGGAATACTGTCTATGGGATTAGATATCTGCTCAAAGTAGTTAGTTTCTAATGGGTGAGAATACCGTGAATATTAAGGACCGGGAGTTTATGGCGCGCAGGTCGTTAGGATCAGAATTCATGGAACAAATGAATCGCTAATTAAGGAGAGGTTCAATTTGGGCGAGAAGTGTGGAAAATTCTTCAAACGTCAGAATTTATATGAAAAAGGTGAGATTTTACTAATATAACACCAGCCTCCCACAGACCACCAGAGTCAAGGGCTGACGGAGGATTCTTCAAAACTCCATGAAATGTTTTCTGTTTCGAAAGCTGTGTTCATTAAATCAGCAATATATTTTCTTGCTGCAGTGAAATAAGTTCTAAATACTAATGAACACCGACCTCGTCTTGCAATGAATCTTCGAAAGGCAGCTAAAAAAGCCTAAGAACTAAGATCAGAAACTAATTATAAATGAAGAGATTTTAGGTATAGAAAAATAAACGAAAAGACACATATATACAGGGTGGTCCGAATGATTGCCTTGCATTTCCTAAAATATGAGCTCTAAAGGTTCAACCAGAATTTTTTTCCCAAAGATTAGCCGTTCTCAAATTATTCATACCAATTCATATCAATACAACCGCTTCTGGCAGACACTTCTAACCATAATATTACAAGAATATTTATGTTTATGCTTAAAAGTAATTTGTAAGCACATCAGCAAAATTCTTTACACTTTTTTCAACACCATCTGTGGGAGACCGTCCTTCTGATAAGACTTGAATATTCATCAATTTTTTTTACAAACAATAACTAATATTTGAAATGTTAAAAATAAAATGACAGTTCCTGATGATAGACGAGGAAATAAAGCACTGAACCTCTGAAATCTGTGCAGTAAGATGGATCGTGATGCGGTTTTTTGCATTCGATTCGTTAGAGCGTCCAGAAAGTTTGTGACCCTATGTGATCATTGAGAAATGAAAATTGCATCGGTGCATAAGAAAAATGCATTTTTAAAATTGCACTCGAAGAGTTAAAATATGAAAAATTTATAACTCGGAAAATATTGACGGAAATGAGTTCAATTTTGCTACTCGAGGGTTTCTGGGGTCGCTGAACACGAATATCATGTTGGCAACGATCTCCGAGGTACCTAGTGCCCAGGGTGGCCGGTTTTCATGTTGTCTCCTGGAGTTTTGTGGAAATTCGTTATAAACTTAGCCGAAACTCGTTACCTCGGGGTTTTTGGGGTCGCTCAACACGAACATCACGACGGCAACGATCTCGGGGGTACCTAGTGACCAGGGTGGCCGGTTTCCACGTCGTCGCTTGGAGTTTTGTGGAAATTCGTTATAAACTTAGCCGAAACTCGTTACCTCGGAGTTTTTGAGGTCGCTCAACACGAATATCACGACAGCAGCGGTCGACCAAGGATCATGAATATGATTTTCTGTGGATGAAAAATCGATTGCGGAACTTCGTGTGGGATGTAGATGTAATGAACCAGTATTCATTTTCCGTTTTATGCAAGGCCGTGGGCCATTTATTTATTAATTAGCGTAATTGGGCAAGAGCAATTATTATCCGCGAGTCGAGCTGAACCGTCCGTTTGCCCCACTCTGA